AAAGTTATATTTAGAAATAACCTTATTCAAGATAAATATTTCGTATATTTCACATTTCAAGTGTAAAGAAATTTTAGATCGAAATAATTAATTTTAAATGTACATTAATATTTCAGAATCATACAAAGAAGTTATATTTAGGAATAACCTTATTCAAGATAAATATTTCGTATATTTCGTATCAAAAAATTAATTCCATTTCTTTCTTTTCTCCTTTTTTTTTATGTGTATGTGTGATCGTTGGTATGATGAAAAATGACGATAGAAGAAGTCAAATATAAAATTGTCACCAATTGTGAAATGAAAATGGTCCACATAGATATATGATCGAGTTGTAAAAAGAGAAAATAGAAAGTAATTATTGGAGATAGTGAGTATGGCGAAGAATTTTTCACATATAAATTCAGCAAATAATCGAATATTTCGCTTTTATAGTGCCGCAATTTTTTTTTTCTTGTATTATGATAATAAAACAAAAAATCTGCTCGTCATTTAGACTTTTCTACTCTCACTGGTTTTAACGTTTAATTTTTCCGATCTTAGTTAATCGTAATTTTTAAATAAATGAAATCTTCTTCAATATACTTTTCTTCCCATTTTTTTTTGTCTTTTTTCCTTTTGGTTATTTGCGCTTTTGTCACTTTGATTATGTGAGTTAAAAAAATTTGACAACTTGGTTTCTTATATATGAACGTACATGTATATGCATGATTGATGAAATTGCTAGTAAAATTACACTAATTAATTAATGTAGTTTTTTTTTCAGCGAATCATTTAATATAGTGTTTATTAAGAAATCGATAGTCTTCGTATCATATCAATAAAGAAACGAAATTATTTTCTTTTTTTTTGAATTTTTTTTTGGTTTTTGAATTTTAAATGTTATTACAATAATGATTCGTGATGGATTTAAGTGATGAATTGAAAGAAATTACTCAACAATATGAAAATAATTGAATGAAATTTAATTTGAAAATGAATTGGTTGAATCGAATTTGAATTAGGAATTAATTAATTGAATGAAATTTTGTGATTCGTTTTTTGTCATATAAATGAATAGAAGAAAGTTAAAAAATTGCAATGAAATTTTAAGAAAGATTTTTTGAATTGTCACTGAAAGAACAAAATACACACACACACACACGCACACATACATACACACACACACATACACACACACACACATGCACACACACATACACACACACATACACACACACATACACACACACACACATACATTTTTTGCAGATAAAATCAATTCATGTTTTACAATTTATTATTTGATTTCCTTTTTTTGTCGAATTCAATCCATGCATGTATTATCGTTTCATTTTCACTCCAAAATGGTAATAAAATTGTTTGGAATTGATGAAACAATTTCCATTTTTTTTGCATTATTAAATTAAATTTAGTATTAAATTAAACTTAGTAAAATTCGAAAATTTTTAAAATTTGTAAAATTTTTAAATTTAAAAATTAAAAATTTGGAAATTTTCAAAATTCCAAAATTTGTAAAATTCGAAAAATGTTAAGTTAATTTTAATACTATTACGTAATAATACCATTATGCTTGATTCATTCAAAATAAAAATTTGTGAATGAAAATTTTACAAAAAATCATTTTATTCTCGTTAAATTAGTATTCTTAGCATTTTATATTTATTAATTTTCCATTTTTTTTTTGTTTTTTTTAATCTTAATGTGCATACATATACATATTAAAATCAATTCTATCATCTTAATCGTTATCACAATCATATTTTGAATTATTTTGCATACATTTCCATTATCAGTTCTATCATTCTAATCATAATCAATTTATCATAATCATGTAATATGGAAAAAAAAAGTCTTCATCTTAACATTTCATTTAATTTCATCCTATCCCTAATCTTATCTTATCATTTAATTTTACTTTATCCTTAACTTTTACTTTTATTTTTTTTATCATTTAATTTTATTTAGTTTTACTTTTTTTTCTTACTTTAGATTTTTAAAATGTAAGGTTTGAAAATTCCTTAATAATTGTAGAATGAAATAATTCCATTTCAGTTAGTTTTTTTTTTTTTTTTTTTAAAACCATTTCATGAATATTTTCCTCAAATTATTATCTCTCAGAAATCTTTTTTTACTTAAAAATTTCTTAGATTCCAAATAATTTTATCACTAAAAGCATGATAAGATATGATAATGGAAAAAGCATTATCATATGGCATACCTAATGTGAATCAGAAGAAAAATGAAATTTCTTTTTGAAAATTAAGCACAAAATTCTTTTAAATTCAATTTATTTCATTAAATAATTTTGACAATCATTGAATGATATATTTCAATCGATTGGAAAATTAATGTATCTTAGTTTATTAAGAGGTAATATGATTCATCGAATATTCTTTCATTTCATGTGTATTCTATTAATAAGCTATATCATCTTTAGGATCTCCCTCTCTCTCTCTCTCTCGAAAAAAGCGGGATTTGAAATATCCTACTGATAGGCTATATTATGTTTGAAATTTCTTGAAGATATGATTAAATTAGTTGCAAAATTCGACTATGTAAATTTTACGAAGTGATCGTTTAATATTTATGGCCAATTCAAAGAACTACCGCACATTCGCGGAAAGCAAAATTCATTTTTCATTCCTAAAATTGGTTTTTTAGAATTTCGAATTTTCAATTGACTAAATATATGAAATAATAGAAGAATAGCTAAATTAATCATAATATCATCCTATACTATAAATTAATTTCCTTCTCTTTTCTTATCTCATCTTTTCTCTCCCACTCTTTAGACTCTCCCGTTTCTCA